ATAAACTAAACATTAAAGTATTTTCATGATTCAATTGATTGAAGTCTCTCTCTCTCTCCCTCTCTCTATTTACTATAATTATTATTAAATTTAAAATCAAAACTTCTATAAATTTATTGAATTATAATCTAGTTTTCAAATAATGATTAATAGATGTAATGTTAAACTCTAATGACTGCATAAAATCATTAATGTATTTAATAATCTCTATAAACTTATTAAATGATAATTAAATATTGTGTAACTTTGGTTACAATTAAGTTAAATAAATTTATAAATTTATTTTAGTATAATATAAATATTTATTAGACATTGAATTCTTAGTAAATTTTTATTTTATTGTCAATTTTATGCAACACTATAATATATAAGTGTATAATACTAAACAATACAGTTGAGCAAATCTGGGTGAGTTACTAAAAATAAAAATGCATTTTCATGACAATTGCCAGATTTGCTCAAAAATGTATATTAAATTTAGAGTAAATATAAATAAATAATAAATCTTATAGATGTATAACGAAACAAAAAAAATCAAATTCTGTATAACAGTAACTTATGGGACATCCCTTTCAATGTCTTACAAAAAACATACAAAAGTCATGTAATTCTGTCGTCAAATGATTTACATAAATAGCACTTTGAAAGGCATATGTCGTGAGACTATAAATATTACTTTTTCTTTATAAATAAATTTTTATATACACTTTAATGAAGTGAATTCCCGTCACAAGTGTTGGCAAATATTCAACGGATTTCTTCAATACTCTACACTTCTGTTCGTCGTTTAAAAGTATTTTATAATATTTAAAACCGTTTAATGAAATAGTGTTTAGATATTACTTATTTGAATAAATCTTGGAAATAATATTACTTTTAATATTTTAATAATTTATTGTAAAAGTATATCGAAATGCATGTATCAAAAGGTGATCTCATTGTAAGTTCAAAACCGTTTGCGTTTGTTTTGCTTCAATCGGAGTCTAATTCCCGTTGCGATCAATGTTTTAAATTAATGTAAGTTTTTAAAATTTATTTATAATAGCAATTATATACAGTTTATTATAAGTTATTATAAGTTTTAAATCATTTATGAAAACACTATTGTAAACTTACTTATATTTTGCAAACTTTGTCTTATATAGAAAAGCAAAGGTTTTATGTTATAAGTGTTTAAAAGTAATGTTTTGCAGTCGTAAATGTGAGGTAACATTTCAAACACTGTTGTAAATCATATAATTTTAAGTGATAATTATTTATTAGATTGAGTCCAAAGACAATAATAACCACTCCCATGAGTGTCCAGTTCTGGCCGTTCGGCCACTTTTGGCAATTACTAGACTTATCGCCCGAGTTATCAAACAACTTGATAATAACGGGGTTAACAATAATAGCGAAGTGATTGGCAATCATACCCGAGACTGGGATTGTTTGATGGATCGTAAGATTTATTCATATATTAAAACAAATATTTATATTTTAAATATTTTTGCTAAACATCATATAGACTACGAGAATATTACAAAGGATTTCGGAGTTATGCGTGAATTTGAGTTAATATACAATGAATTGGCACTTATTTTTGGGGATTCATTGCCTGAAATTGAGTTAATATTGAGAATATATGGGAAACTATTGATTAACACGTTTGCAATTCAAGACCCACTCATGAGACAAATTGGGAGAGCTATATATCTCGGGTTTGTTTGCTATCATTAATGTTAAAATTAATTTTTAATAATTTTAATCTATTTGAAAAGGCCGTCAATTTTTGACCACTCGTGCAAACCGTCGGCGAGTTTCCTATTTATAGGCACAACACTGTATATTAAGGCCACAAAATCGATGACAATCGCAGACATCACAGACTTTCGTATCTCATATATCGATGAGTTTGAGACAACTGTTGAACGCCAGCGACAGCTCAGAAGTGCCTATTATTTTGACTGCGATTGCGAGCGATGTGTAAACTATTCACAAAACTTTTGAATCTATTTTTAATTTATTTGGTTTTTGTTTTATTTATAGACTTTTAATGAAAGCGTTGTTTCTATGGCTGAAGACAAGAGTTTGCGTCACATTTGCGAGAAGATTGAAAAGTTATCGATTGATAGCAATTATATCATTGACAGCACCAGTAGTTTAACAACAAAACGATTGCATACAAGTAATGTCCAAAACGATGATAATATGATTTATGAATTGGTGGCAGACTTACGGCGAGATGTAATGCCATTGAATTCTGTACTCGAAGTAAAAATTGCAGAGTTTGTAGCCATTAATGATAAAGATATGGATCTATGGCTTAAAGTGATGGCTATATTTAGATCTTATTACGGCGATTGTCACCAAAGACTTGCACTAAAGCTGTTTCTAATGGCAAAGAGTGCCAACAAATACCCGGCACTCAAACGGCAACTGTTGACTGAAGCGAAAGTCATCGCCAATCAGATAACGCCAGACATGGGCTCACAAATGATGACAGAGTCGACCAGAAGTCGAGCTATTAATCGGTATTCACGACACAAAACAATCTCCGATTCGTTAATCAATTCAACGCTTTTATATCTCATTGAATCGGAACTCATTGATTACAAGCCCTACAGAATCGCACAGAATTTGCCCAATAGTTCCGGTTATACACAGAGATCGCGATCTAATGTTACTTTCANTGACCGAAAAGCAGAAACTAATTGTCATTAAAGATATTGGGAAACAATCACCAAAGGATGTGGACATTGCCTATAGATTCAAACGATTTATAGACACATCTGTTTGCGATATCAATGAATTGATTGATATGAAAGCCATGAAACTGTTGAATGACACGGAATGGGCGCAAGAATTGGCACAAAAGTCGGCAAAATTCTGTGAAATGAAACAAGAATTGGATAGACTTCGCAAACAAAGGGATACTTCAGCTCAAGAATGTACAGAATTGAGAGATCGTTACCAACAATTACACAATCAATGCAATCGAGTCTTGTATTATAATCCCTATGAATATGGCTATAATAGTGTGGGCACCGGTAGTACCGGCCCTAAGATTAACACTCACTCCGGCGACAGACCGGTTGTTCCCATCAATGTTTTTAGGCCTATCAATAATGGCGAGAATTATGAGCGTCGCATAAATGTGAATCCTTATAAGTATGATGAAAAGTATCCAGGTCCCCAATATATTCACCCTTACTAATTTTTATTTAAAATTTTAATTGTTTTACATTTTAAATGTATCTAAAAATTTTTATTTAATGCTATAATCATTTTATTCCAATAAAATTACAATCAAACAAATATTCTGTATCTCATATTCCTATTGAAAGTAACATTAGATCGCGATCTCTGTGTATAACCGGAACTATTGGGCAAATTCTGTGCGATTCTGTAGGGCTTGTAATCAATGAGTTCCGATTCAATGAGATATAAAAGCGTTGAATTGATTAA